AGCCCGTTTGGGGGGAGGGGGCAGCGCCCGCAGGATCCGTGGCGTGTTCCAAAGACTTTTATTTCCTTGTAAAAACGAAAACAAAAGAATGCAAAACAAACAAAAGTAACGCAAGAAGCTTTGGAAGGAACTCCCAGCTATTCTAGTCTCAAAGTCTGCGCCTTTGAAGTTTTATTTGCGAATTTGATCGGGCTGCACACGCAGGGCTTAACGTCGTTCAGCTTCAGAAAGACAGGACTCCCCCTGGCCAAGGTCGGGGGGAAAGCAAAACAAAACAAAGCAGAACAAAGGCAAACAGCCGCCTCGTTAATCACAGTGTCAAACGCCGCGAACGGGAGTCCCACGGGGCCAGGCTCGGCCCTGCCAGTCTCTCCCCGAGCGCGGTCTCCGCGCGGAAGGTCCCGTCTCGCTGTCCTAAGGGTCAAAAGAGCAGGCGGCAGGAAGCAAAAAGAAGCATCACCCCAGATGGGACTCGAACCCACAATCCCTGGCTTAGGAGGCCAATGCCTTATCCATTAGGCCACTGGGGCTCCCACGAGCACAAGTCTTCCACGCCCCTACTTATCGAATATCCCCGCCCCCTTTCCCTTATATGGACCCCATTGTTCTGCATTCGAACTTCCCCATGGGACAGCAGCTCCCCGCCTTATTCTTTTTAGGAAAAATTGGTGCCGCGAAGCCTCCTGGGACCTCTCCCTCCCGGTGGGGGGGGGAGGGGGGGGTCGTGCAGGGGCTGCTGGGAAGAGTAGTTCCTCGCAGCAAAGGCGGGGGCGGCGGGGCCTGGCCGGGATCCGCCCTGAGAAACGCGCCTTAAATGAGCGACAGGAGCTTTTATCCCCGTTTTTTAAATATTATTTAAATTATTTTTTTTGGCAGCGTAACATAAAACAAAAAAGAAAAAAATACATATACTCCAAAAAAAAAAAAAAAAAAAAAGAGTATTTATTTCTCCTCCCTCCTCTCTCCCTAAAGAAGCCGCCCCCAAAAAGTTAATGATAAACCCTTCATCAGATTGGAAAAAAAAAAAAGTGTTTAACCTTGGTGTGAAATTACAGAGGCACAGCTAATATGTACATTCCTCTTTATTTAATAGAGCACGGACACGACACATACAAAAAAGAAAAGAACACTCATGAAAAAAAGCCTGTCGCAGTCAAGGACAGGCAACAGCTACACCGTATCGAGTAAGGCTCTTGCTGTAGAACAGGGGTCTGCCAGCTTGGATCCTGGAGCAAAGATTGCTGCTGCTGCTAAAACAAACAAATAATAAGAAAATCTTTGCAGCACTTCTCAGAATTCCGAGTGGAAAATGGAAGGGAAGGTTATCTCTGTAACAGGGGAAACAGGCATCGCCTGCAGGAATTACACCATTACATAATCACAGGGTACACATGCGATCATCTTTTTGGACCAAAACATTGTCAGGGATCATCACCCTGGGTATCCGAAGGAGTGAAAAGATTGAGAAGTTGAACAAAATAGATTTAACAATACAAGTCTCCCTGATAGGGCTCTGCTAGCCACAACAGGAACTCAGACTGGCTTCCAAATGAAAAGATAAAAATACATATATACTAGCAGCTATTAAACTGATCAGAACAATATACCCAATATTTGGAACTGGTGCAGGCTTTTGCAGCAGCAGCTTCCCCACTTCCTGCTTCAGTTCAGGATGGAAACTAAACAGGCACCAGTTCCTCTGTCAAAGAGCCTTACACACTTAAAAAAAAGAAAAATACAAAAGAGGGAAACAGGTGTATTTACAAAAATCCATGGCTGGTACAGTACATCATTTTTAAGACACACTAAATGCTACAATCTTTCAGGTCCTGAGATTATTACAAAAAACCCAAAAAACCAAAAAACATAAAACTTGTGTTCAGGTCCAGTTTTATAAGAAGAGAGGAAAGAAATTAAATCACATTTAAAATACAGTAACCTTTGAAGTTAGTGGAACACATCTCCCTAAAAACCCAAAGGAAAGCGGTGCTAGTCACCCGGATGTAGCTGTATTTGGTTGTTCAGCTGTGTTGTTGCAAGAGGGGAGCATTTCACATGGGAGTACTCTGGAGAGCCCGAGCGAGCACACAGCTGTTCGAATCCTCTCTGCCGCTAAGCTCTGTATGCTTTGAAACAAGCACGCATTGAAAGTGGCAAGGTGACCTCATACAAATGTACGATGGACTAAATAAAGCAGCACTACAGAATCACCGACTCAGACAGGTTTGCCATTGCATGATAGCTGTGCATTCCTTTGTTTTGACACCGAGACTACCCAGAATCGTAGCTGTCACCGAGTGCTCGTTTGTAACAAACATGTGGCCATTATGTGTTCCAAGATGCACACTAAAAGGCAAAAAAAACTCTGCACATCTGTCTTTCCCAGCCCATCACTGTACATGGCCTCATTTGTTCTCATCACCAGCCAGCCAGCAAGAATGCAGCTATTTTCAAGGTTCTTAACAACATACACACTAACCGTGACAACAAACAAAGGATGCCGAGGCCGAAACTCTGTCACTGGGTGATCCTGCCTATGAGTAGCAGTGCAGGCAGGCGTGTCTGGAAGCTCCGTTCTTGAGTGAGCCTCTTCCCCAGGCAGAGCCAAAGGGACTCACACCCACGCCTGTTTATTTTCTCTTTCAGTGAAATATTCTTAACGCAGGGCTTTCGTATCTGTAGAGGTTATAATCACACTGATGCCTTGTTACAAGCACCTGACTTACAAGCTAGAAAATGCAAAAATTTTACAGATTACTCATGAAATGCTTCTAACCCTCCCTCAAGAAAAGACTACAAGAGACAAATCACATAACAAGGGCACTACTTTAACTGCTAAAATATAACACTGTTCAGTAGACTTGGGAGGAAAGAGTAATGAATTTTGTAATTTTTTTTTAACATTAGTCCAAAAATATATTTTTTTTCCTCCATCTATTTCCAGTATGGATCTTGAGAGCTATGCAAGAACATGGTACTAATTGCTACAGGATGGAATTACTGCAATAACACACACATACTACAGTTCTCACCTCTGAGCTAAATTGTTCTTTTAGAATTACATACAAGGCTAAAATGTCAGTGAGAAATACATGGGTAAATCTCAATTCAATTTTAGTTAGAGATTCAGCTACTATGCAGCTAATACCTCCCCTTGTTTAGAAGAAACTTCATTTAAGTAAGGAATTGACTGAATACACTTCTGATACTGGAAGGAACACAGGATGTCTCTCTCAGTAGCTTCTCCCCAAAACCAATCTATACATTAAAAAAATTCTGTGGTTTCTTAAACCAATTTTTAGAGCTGAATATTCTAAAAGCTTAGACTAAAACTTGTCACAAAGTCAAATTAGCTTCCCTCTTAAAGCAGTTTCATGACACTTTTGACACTGGGTGCTGCACCAGGGTAAGGGTTTCTCTCAAAATACAATTTTCTTTCTTCAGGTTAGCAAAAAACAGTTCTGCAGTACAGACACTCAAAAATATTCTATTTTCTTTGGGTAAAACTTCAACATGTGTTAAAGGGGTAGCTGGGGGAAGGAGCGCATTTAACACTGAGACATGTAAAGAATACTTATCTGCATAGTCGAAATTAGTGACTACTGATCAAACTAAGGCCTTATCTGGGAAAAAAAAAAAAAAGTGGAGAACAAAGAAATGTTTCTTCTCCCATTCCCTGCCCACTGATGAAATCTGGTCAGTCTCAAAACAGCTCTGGCTGCCTCCACAACTACTTGTTTTGGCTTATAGCTCGTGGTACCTCCTGGCTGGTATTGGGTGGTTCTCTCATCTCCTTTCCCTTGGTGTTGAACAGTATCAACCATTACTCTATTTTCTGGCAAGATACATCTGCGCACCCTGTTGGGCCAAAGAAGCAGTAGTATTGAGCATTATAAAAAAGTCAAAAGGTAGCGAAACCTATTTGTTTAGGATTACTTCACTATAAATGCATTAGGTAATGATTATTACATAAGCAAGAAAAGTTTGCAAGGAAAATGAGACTGAAATTCATTTTAAATTTACAAAACACAAAAACCCAATTCTTTTCCAGAGTTGCTCTGTAGTAAATTATAACTGTCAAGCTGGCTACAAAAAACAGACCATTTTCCTTGACTCCTGACAAGATTACTACAGCATCATTTACAAGGAGTGTGCAAAACTGGCTGTAGGGAATCACTGCATTTCCCCAATTTTGGGTTAGTTTCAGGCCATGCTGATCTCTCAGCATAACTTATAGCAGCAACAGGACTTTCTGTGGCCCCAAAAGGCTATAATACAGCAGCGAGGGGTCACTGGATCATAGGAAAAGAACGATCAAGCTACTCCAGAAGTTTCTGCAACAAGAATATTCTTCTACATGACTTATTATTTTTCTCCAGTAGCCCAGCAAGCCTACTTCTGGCTGCTTAACATCGGTAGTGATTACTTAAGTGGACAGTGATTTCTGAGCATAGCCACACCTGTTAAAAACATTGCAACAGTCAGCACTCATCACCAGTCATAGCTTTCTTATCTCCCAATTCAGCCAAAGATAAGGGAGCAGGGGTGCCTCAAATGAATCAAACAGCACTGAAAAAGCCACATTAGCTCAGTTTACTGCCAGGCTAACTCTGCTGAAGTAGGTAGGAAGCGCTCCAATTACTTCCACTGGCCAAGCTGCCAGCAACAGTACGAGCTCTGACTGGCACCAGTAGAGTAGGAAAGACTATCTGCTTATAGCCTAGTTTACAGATTCATTTAATTGCATTAAGATGAGCTAAGAACTGAAACAGGCTATTTTTTGCCCAAGGAACACTTGCTGTATCAGTATCTTATTTATTGCTCTACAGATGAGCTTTCCACCTAATTAGGAAAAAGCTTTGCATGCCATTCCTACTGCAGTTTCTGAAGAGATAAATACCTACTTTTCACAATACAATTCAAAATTAGATCTTGCCCAGTGGAAGCACCTCACAGAACCAGCACAGCCCAGTGATGCTATTTGTGTCCTAAGTTTAGTGCTGATCAACACATGAATTGCTGATTTCAGGTATGTACGTTTGCAGTAACCATAACCTAGACACATCCTCAGCATAACTGCTAAAATCACTAGATCCACTGCAGATAGCTAATTTTGTCAAGAGAACAAAGAAACAAGCATAAATGGTATTTTGACAGTTCACTTGCAGCTGACAATACATGAACTTACTGATCATTGCTTCAGCAGAATGAACCATTAATCAGAACTCATTAAAAGAAAAGGCAGAACTAGAAAAGTACTTTTTATGGTACATGATTTAGGCAGCTTGTGAAGCACAGGCAACTTTAATTTCAATTAGCAGCTCTACTCTAACAGGGTATATAGAGCTTCTTACATATGTTGTATGACAGGAAGTGACAACTTCGTCAAAAGCGGGAATCTTTGCAATAACTCGTCAGGCTATATAACAAGCCACACGCAAGATCCCTTGCAGTTCATCACAACTCAGACTTGCTGGAAGCTGCTATTTTAACCTTTTCTTTTTCCTGTTCACATTTATGTCAGCTGCATGCCTTTGCAAACTCAGTAATTGTGTGAAGCGGTCCAGTACTAACAAGATATCCAGACAGGTTCCATGTTTTGTTTATGATCTAATTAAATTCAAATTTAAAACCTTCAAGAGGAAAATGCAAAATGTTTCTTTCCCATTAACCACCTCCTTTCTCCCATATGCGTTTACACACAATCACACACACACATCCCTTTTATTATGTTGCCTTCTTTCCCCAAATGTTCACTTTTTGCAAGTAAAACAGTTCAACACAGCCAGAACATAGAAAGAAACAGGATTCTCAGGAATACTGGTTTGTGTGCGAGTGTGAGAAAGAAAGCACAAGCATACAGAACAAATGCCATGGTACAGCAGCTATGAAGTTACACGCACATTACACATATTACAAAAGGAAAAAATAGTATAACAGCATAAAGCCATCTTGGCAAGCTTAAGATTTTTTTCTTCCAAAATGCTTTCCAGCACTTCAGGATCTCTGAGAACAGTTTAAAAAGGGTGGGGAAATAAAATAAAAAGGCACTTAAACAAAGGACAAAGGCCTGAATCAAGTAAGTCATGGAGGGTAACAGCCATTCCACCAGAGCTAGGACCAATCAGAAGTCTAATAACTTTTAATTTCTATAAAATTAAAATTGCATAAAGTGTTAATTAATCAGTCATTTATCTACTGCTTTCACCTTCTGGTTCATTTCATGAAAACAAACAAACATACAAAAAGCAAGAGTCCCTTTAGTGATTCTCCCCAGTTCAACAAAAGATCGAAGTTAGAGGTGTGGGAGGAAGCCTTCCAGAGCTTAGCTTGACTGCAGGTTTTCCTGCAATACCATCTTCAAAAAAATCCAACACAAAAACAGCAGAGGGACCACTGTGCCTTTAGCAATTCACCCAAACCAAACGAACAAAGAAAACCCCAAACACCAACACTTCTAATCCATCTGTGGGCAAAAACTACTAAAAAAAATTAAAACTGTAAACTAGATTAAACTTTGCTAATAAATACAGCCAAAAGTTCATTTTACGAATGTAGCAGCAAATGTGATAAAGTTAGTTGGAGTCCAACATGACTCCCAGAGGGTTAATGGTTCACACAACTGATGGCAGCTTGGGAGAGTTGCAGAATTTCTGTTTTCACGTCCTCAAGGCTCTTGGACCAAGTGGAGAAGGACTGTGGAGGAAGGGTCAGGTGATGGGACAGCAGGGAGGCAACAGGCTCTTGGCACCTGCTCCAGCCCCAAACATGTGCATGAGAACTTGGATTGGATTCAAACAAGACACAGAACCCAGACAATTTAAAGTTACTTCTGATTAGCAGAAAACAGATGTAAAACCCACAGCATCCACACTTGTGACTGAGTTATTCAGTTTTAGCCACATATCTTGAATTAACAGAGAAAACTGGACAAAGTGGACAAAATTTAGGCCATTACCATCTTTCTTAGAGGGAGAGAACACTGCAGTTACAGCCCAAGTCATCAAAAATTTTGCAGCCTGTTTTTCATCTTACCTGCCTCCTTTTTACTTATATCACAAATGTCTCAAAAGATTTAAAACAGCTACAATAACTTTTGGGGGTTTGGATCACATAGCAGAAAATATCACTGGGAAGGTTTTAACATCTAAAACCTGTGTTTGAAATTATTGCTTGCGTCTGGTTGGGGCTCACAGTGAGCCTGACACCATAGCTCATATACAGTCCCCAAACCAAGTTCAGCCCTGCTGCCTAGAAAGACAGCTCTTCCTGGCTTTATTGCTTGTGAATACTGAGGGTTATTTAGTATGTACAACTACAGTTTTATTACTGAAGGCCCTTGAAAAGTAGTAAAAACCTGGGGAAAAAAACCTGTCTTTAGAAGAACTGCTGTACAGGAAGTAGTGAAGTATTAACCTAATTTTGCACGGGGATGTTGCAGACATCTTTCACTTTTCATCCTATTTATGCTACTTGCAAAACATCCAGGAGCCAGCCTATTAATTCCTTTGATTTGGCTTTGGCTAGGTTTAACTCTCAAGGGAGAAGAGGGAAAAAGGAATAAGCGGCCCTTTCATCACCGTGTTGCTGATTCCAAAGACACTCAGGATTATGAATGAGAATAATTACCCTTGGGTGACTGTTTGACCTGGCTTCATGAAGAATATATAATTTTATTCATGTTCATCATCCTATAGCCTAATTTCACAGTAACTGTTAATTTACCTGTTTCCCAAGTCTATTAGAGAAGTTCCACAGGCTGCAGAGTCTGATCTACTCCCCATCTTCTTAAGGTTGAGAGGATACTCCTCCACAGAAGGAGGATCATACTTCCAGGAAGAGATGCTGAAAGGATGTTTGTTCAGCAATTAAAGGACTTCCAAATCCCCAGATCTCAAATTTCTTTTACAAATATAAAAGACAAAGACAGTAATAATTTGAATGAGATGCCTTGATGAAGAAAATGTAGAAGAGGTAGAAGTCTTTGGACAGGGTCTTTTAAAGGTATTGCTGCCTGGTGCAACTTCCCTAGCTACATGCATTATTTGGAAAGTTCTGAAACTTGATGAAGTTCAGAGAATTAACATCCTGCCAGAATTGTTTGGCATCAAATTTTCTTCCTTCAACCCTTCCTGAAGAAAAAAAAGTATCAGATAAAATCTGTATTCTGTTCTGTTGAATTTGTATCAGATTAATAATGCCAGGGTCTGCACAGCTATGTTTCAACTCTAAACCTTGATGACTGAGATGTAAGCTTATCTAATCAACATGTCACATACAAAACATTAGCTAAAAAGCATGCAGTTTGGCTGATGCTACAGAATGAAATTCATGAACTAATGCATCTTATTTTAATTCAATCTGTCTTTCACAGAAGTGTTGTGCAAAAACATTTATTGCTGAGCTCAACCCAACATTTTATACTAAATATACAATATATATTATTTTAAATTCATGTTATATATATTTATATAAAATTAAAATGAGCTCTAAATAGAAAAGAAAATTGTTGTATTGTCTAGGAAAAAAATCACACAAGAGAAAACTGAAAGCTGTAAGTTAATCTAGCAAAGAGCATTGAAGATTCAGTATCCACGAATCAAAGTCGGTCTCTGGAAAGCGAGACAACTGTTAGCCACTGGTTTCAATCTCAGTTTAAGCTACTGCAAAGAGTAGCTACTAGGAACTTCTGCATTTCTGATCAAAGGAATGTTTCAGGGTTGAAGGAGAAGGGCATCATGATTTTAACTGCTCCTTTTTTCCCCTCATTACTTTAGTTTGCCATTTTCATCTTTTATTTGACAACACATGGGACTCCACAGTAAAGTTCTGTCCTAGTGTCAAAAGTGCAATATGTGCTGGATATTTCCTAACCTTACAAATGAACCAGTCAATGTATTGCTATTGAAAAAAAAAAAAAAAAAAAAGAAAGAGGAAAGCCAGTTTTGCAGTCTTGTGCTACTATGTAAGGAAGAGTTCAGGTCAGGAACTCCCCAGGCCAGCAGGGGCTGGAAATGCTTGAGACAACCCACACAGCCCCTAGAAGAGAAGGCACCTCTGGTCGCTCTTGAACGACTCCTCTTTGGCTAATGCCTGAAGAGCCTTAACCTGGCTCTGGAATAAGTCACATCCAGCTTTCCTTGACTAGCAGATCTATATAATGCATGGCTTCTGGGAGAAGTTAGATGAAAGATGAGGAAGATCGAGAGTGGGTGAAAATTTTGATCATGTTTTATAAAGTATGTGATAGGGCATGACTTCATTTTAGTAGCAGATAGGCACAAGGCAAAGCAGAACCAAGCAAAAGAACTAAAATACCATAGTGTGCCTTAAAAAAAAAAAAAAAAAAAAAAAAGAGGGAGGGGAACAGGGAAGAAATACTAGTCTGACCAATAAAATGTAAATTTCCTTTTTACGTAAGATGAAAAATTTCCACTCCCCTCTTCTCTTAAATAAGAATTGTGTTAACAAACAAACAAAAGCAAGGAGCAAGAGGTTTCCCAGTAGTCTGTCTCTTACATTTCACATACCAGGAGATCCCAGAAGACAACTCTCTGGGACTAATGAGACTGCATATATATGTAGGCTCCCTAAAGCCAAAAAGCCTTATAAAAGCTGGAAAAATGCCCATATCAGAAACTCTGTATCTGTGTAAGGTTTTCAATATAACCCAAAGTATCCCGACACCACCTCTACTCTATATATCCTTTGGTCCGCAAACACATGGTACACTCAGGACCTACATAGAACTTTATGCTGGGCACTTAAGGAAACTAAGTGGACAACTCCACCTCACACAATGGATGAAGCCTATTGTAGCTCCTCTCATGCTTTCAACTTTCCATTGGACATCACACAGAAAATATGTTTGTGCTGCTGTGGGAAAAACAACCAATTTTTTTTTTTTTTTTTTTTTAAAAAAGCCAATCAGAGCAGATAAGATTTTTTTTTTTTTTTTTTTTTTTAGGCAAGAACAAACTACAACCAGTCTGCATGACCAGGAGGACCAGTCCCCCTTTTCCTTCTCTGTTTGATCAAGTATTGTTTTCTTTCTTCTTCCTCTCACCACAGTGCTTGGGATCAGAATATGTAAACATCGACAGAAACAGCAGCTCTGTGACCATAAGCACTTTCCCAACTGGGCACATTCTGTCAGCCAACCAGAACTGCTTCAACTCCCTTGCTTGTCCAGAAGTCACTGGTTTTTCCGCTGTACCTTAGTGTCCCCTTTACTTTGGCCTCCATCTGTAGTTTAGAGACAGAAAAAGGGGAAAAATAAAGTCATGAGTGATTTTTTTCCCTCCATCTTCCAACATAAAGTGGGTGGCGGGGTTACTTAGCATAACTAGCTTTAGCAGTATCAGAAAGACCACTCCTATAACGTACCATCTCTCTAAAAGAGAAGTTGCACTTAAAACACTACACAGCAAAAACAACACTAATAAAAGTTTTTGAAGAGTCAACTAGCGGTACTCTCACAAAAAGATTAAAGATAATACCAGATAGAGGCAATCCGTTCTCAAATCCTCTTAGAACGGCATCTGCCAGTTCTGGCAGCTGAGTACTCCAAGAGGATGAGGAACCTTCCAAGTCACAGGTACCTCTCCTGTTCCCATATCTGGCTAAAAAAAATCCTACAGATAGGCAAAGAGCACACTGAATTACACTGTCTTCTGAAACTATAGGATAATTTTTCAGCTTTCAGGTTCACAAACAGGAAAAGGAAATATCCTATTCCAAGTACTCACAAAATATGTATTTTTGTTAAGAATACAGTTTTCAGGGAAGACATATCTTCCATTAGGAAACCATCACATTGCTCACACAAGCATAAAAAACTTAGGAGAAATATCAAGAAGCTTTTACAGCCACAATACAGCCTTCATACAGGCTGTAAAAAATAATCAGCTTAGTTACTATGAAGTAATAGTCTTCTGCTAGTTGAGATTAGAGGCTTGGATTTCCCAAATCACTGCAAGTAAAGCATTACTGTGAGATTTATTGAGCTTTCTTTGCCCTGTTATTGAAGATAGGTATAAAAAAATCATTCAGGTTTTAAAAATACAACTATAGCAAAGTTTGCACCATCTGCCACTACCAGGGTCTGTTCATATGTTTTCTATCTTCTCTAAACTATTTTCAAAACTGACAAACATTTTGTTACAGTCTAATGCAGATATTTTACCTTTTATTTTTCTCAAAACTAAATGGAGTAATGAAGAGATACACTATCTTTACCTGTGTAAGCTTGCTGCAAGTGAGCAGGCAGAGGTGTGTGAGACAGTGTTGCTGCATGCTGAGCACCTGGCTGTAAACCCTTCAGTAAGTCTAAAGAGAAGAGAGAAAGAAAAAATGGAACAGAGGGAGAGAAAGTAAATCCAACCTTTATGGAAAGAAAAATATCTCAGTTTACAATAACAGTTATTTCTGGAGATACCTTAACAGCAACAAATAAATTGCTGATAGCATTCTGATGGCTGGGATGCACACTAGCACCTCCATGTATTCAGGTGCTAGTAATCAAAAGTCAGCAAGGAACCTTTTTTTCTTTTTTTTTTTGGTAAGATGCAGCTCTTCATAACATTTCTTAGGTAGAAAGACCAAAATTAACTGATAATAGGTTAAAAACCTGAAGACTTAAGGCATTGAAAATAACAGACCCCAACCTCAGCTGATATTTTCAGCTATTAAAATAATTTTAGAATTAGACGGCCTATGCCATTAGTGAACTAAGGACTTTTTTGAATGATCACAGTTTTAAACCTTTTATTTCTATTGTAAAATCTGAAGATTTTAAATACACATTATATACTTCCTTAAGATATGTGAATAAATCTGAAAAAAAGTACAAAGACAACTACCTACTATGAATATGGCAATGACAAACTTAAAATGTTATGGATAACCCTTGATAGATTTAATATTTTTTTAAACCCCAGAATTCACATTTAATCTCCCTTGTATATTTTCTGGAACTGAATTTAAGTCCCTTAGGATCTTTAGTTGCTTCCCTCCGCTACAGAAGTGTGACAACTAATACGACTTACTCTGAGTTAGGCTGTGGTGGAAAGCTGCTGAGGTAGATCCCGAGGTGGTTGTCACTCCGGCTGTGTCCGTCCCAAAGCCAAGCAGCTCCAAAGGAAACTGGAAGGGCACGGTCACAGGAACAAGGCCACCCAGCATCCCAAAAGGAGCTAATGGCGCAGCTGTCACATTCTGGCTGGTTACAGACAGCGGTGATGCCATGAGAGTCAGAGGTGAGGCGTTAGCCAGTAATGATGCTCCTGCTGTTGACTGTGCAAAGAGAAGAAGTACTTTAAGATTTTAAAGCTTTAAGAAGCATCCTCTAAAGAGGTAAGAGTCAATTATTATCAGTTAAGTATGGTACTTCAAATGTTAAACATCTACTTATTATCTATCTAGGAGCTCTTGCCACTTAATTTGCTAGGCAAGCACAACCACGTCTCAGATGCAGGAAAGGCAGTGTGGCTGAACTAAGTTTTTCTTGTTAGTTTTGCAGGCAATTTCCTTTATCCCCTCACTAATTAGGCACAGCATCAGCAGTAACAGCAGTAATTTTAGCAGCAACAGCAATAACTTTAACACAACATCTTCCATTGTATTTATAACACACGATCATCAGACACAGATCCAAAGATCTTTAAAATCACTGCCCCTATACTCTTTCTAAAAAAAGAGTTTTTAAAAGCCAAAAATCCATATTTAAGGGCAAACCACACTTCAAGTGCCAGGCTGCTGAGGTGCAGATATACCTATGTATATGTATACTCATGCCTATACATAAATGCCTGCAGAGTACTTAAGAGCAAAAGGCAAGAAAAGTTTCCCCACTTGGAAAACTATCTACCTTCACAAGTCATAATTACATTAAAAGCATTGTAATTTAAAAAGGAAAAAGATTAATCAATGTTTTAGCTACAATAGTTCCCAATCTGTATTAACTCCTCAAACATTAGAAGCTGCTCAGCACATTTGTGTTTAACTATCCTTTCCTCAATAAACATACCATAATTTTACATGCTACATCAAATGATCTTTTATTTTGTAACAAAGTAGAGCTCAGATATTTTATAGGTATCTGAGTTAACAGGAGTCCTGGACATGTACATTTGGACATGTAAGCCTTAATCAAAAACAAAACTTGAGGTACATTTTAATGAATATCCGAGACCATAGTGAAAATGACATCTTCCTGAGTTCTATTATAACAACTTGCAAAGAAAAACAGGAAAGTGATGAAAACTACCAGGAAGAAAAAAGTTTAAGTTTCACTACTAATTTTGTTCTTAGTGTGTTGAAAGCAGCTAAAGGAAGTTTAGCTGCTGCTCATAAGAAAACATGAAGACATTAACCTTGAAGTCTAAAGCTACACATACATATATCAGATATTTAAGTCTAAAGATACAGATATATTTGTAGATACTCGCTGTATGAGCCATCTTAGGAGCAACAGTTTTTGTCTACATATATAACAAACACTCCATCTCACACCTGGAAGAGAATCTGGATGAAAATCTGTATAAGTAGATCTTTATTCTCTTTTGCATTTAAAGATATTTCACAATAAGTCCATGACAAATGGTGATCATGACAATCATTCACTGTCTATTAAATCTTTAGTGTGGAATGAAAGAAAACCAGTGTTATTTCTTCAAATTGTTCCTTTGTAAAATGCCTTAGAAGAGAAGGGAGCTTTGTTAACATGCGTTTCCATGACCTTACGTACTTTCTGAAACAAGACAAAAGTTCAGTGACAGAAATTACTTAGAGAATGCCATAGAAAGTTATAATTCAAATGCTCCCATTTATTTCAACTACAGCAGCTCCACCCCAGTTATATAGACTTTTAGGTCTCAATGACTCCAATTTAAGACAGATTCTGCTCAAAAATACAAATGCACATGGTTTCATCAAGAAGTTCTAACATGGCTACTAAATTTTAGCTTACTTTGGCTTTGTATTCTAAACATGCAGCCAGAGTAGCGTATAGCAAAATTTCTGTGAAGCTAGAGTAGGGCGAGTTTATATCCAAGTAAATAACTGCTGGAGAGGAAAAGGAAGCACATCTTTTGGAAACTCTCCCATTATGGGAAAAACAGTTATCAGATGAAATCACCTAGTCTGACCTTCTACATATGCATGTCAGAATATTCTAATAAACAACTTCTGCATCATTCTTACCTTCTGCTTGATTAACAATCTCATTTAGAAAGCACTTAGTGGAAATAAGATTCACCTCAGCCCTATGTTATGTATTTGGAATTAGTTTCCCTTCTTTGGTACATTGTACCTTATAGCTGGGCTGGAATCAAGTTCAGTTAGTCAGCAATTAGAACTTTCAGGCTAATATATTCACACACACACCTACATTATATATATATATTATAGATAGCGTATCAATGTTGCACCACTCCTGAACCCTTTAGTGTCAACACTAAAAGCACATGCAAAGCCCCAGTAACAAACACATACCAAAACACTGTATTTTGCTGCATTACAGTATGTGCTCATGTTACTTCATTACCCACCAGCCGTGCGCCAGCCCTCCTCTTCAGCAGCATTGCCTCTCAAGATCCATCTCCTTCCCCAGAAGGAGGGTTTCTGAACAGATGACTTGGCTTTTACTTGCACATGTGTTTTACAGAAGTCCTCTCACACCATACACAATACCATTTAGTTCCCTAGTCTGTCATCTCTAGCTGCTACCACATCATTTCAGGTTCTCTTCCATATCACTGCAGCAGCATCCACCACATGTAGGTGTGCACTGCATGAGAAATGAAACTCTCAGTTCCCAACATGTTCACTGTGTTCAACATGTCAGAAAAGGCACCTTCTAGAGGGCCTAAACTGCATCATAGCTGGTTCAGCTCTTCTCTAGGCCCTATATGGCACCTCTGTGGCCCTTACAGTGCATTTGTTGTGTTTGCCCATTCAAAGTACCCAAATTGAGAAGGCAGCCAGATACATCTCTTGTTTAACATCTCTTGTTTAATATAACATCTATTCAAATACACAAAGGTGAAAGAAAAAAGCCTAATGAAAATCTTACTCATCTGTATCAAAAGAAAAAAACCAGCATACTAAAAGAATATTCTAAAGCATTATAAAAAGGGATTATCCATGTAATAGCTATGCACACTGTTCTGGGGGGGGGGAAACAACCTCCCCCAAAAACGAAACAAAAAAGATGCACTGTTTTTCTAATTTACTACAGACTTGCAGTGATTTAGTCTTTCACTTTACTGAAGTAGTAAAGACAGCAATAAAAAGTAGAAGATGAAAACATCTCAAATTATCTCAGTAACTAAATCACCCCCAGTAACATTGTCTTCTGGGTAAACAGGTTTGCAAGTCTTTTAGAATAACAATTTTAAAATATGTTTGGCTTGTTTCATCTTTCAAGGAACCTTATGCATCAATGAGCTCTTTCACAGAAAAGAAATCTTACTACATATTTATTCTTAAATATTAGAAAAGATTTGCAGGTGTTATTGGAATAGATATCTTGTATTATACCATAACCACAAAAAACCTGCATGAAGCATGGCAAGAAGTGTACTGAGACACCTTTTGATACAAGCACCACCATCATTACAAATATGTATAGAGGAACATGTGCATCTAATAATGAAGTACAGCACTGCAGCCTCTGAATCCATGGCCACAGAAAGCTTACTTTTTCTAGTGTTTAAAAATACTAATAAAGCAAAATACTGAGTTCTACTGCATTATAATACAGAGCAGTCATTTTAACTCAGGATTCCTTCTCCCATCCAATTATTGGATTTTCATAATCAGCTGGAAATGCCCATAAAAGACTTCACTTAAGTCTTTACATTTAGCAGAGGCTTATAAGGACTTATTTTCAGAGTAAGATATTTATGACCTAAGTGTAGTAGGTATCAACACAAGATAAAATAGTAAACTCAGAGGCATACCTGCACACTGGCTGCTACAACTGGAGACCCTGAGGCAGAAGATGGTCTGTGTGGAGTTGACAACTGTTTAGTAGCACCCTGTGTTCCACTTCCTGCTCCCCCAGACAGACTAGTCCTACTAGCTCCACTCGAGTTAAGGTTACTGCCTCTGCTGGCAGGTACATTCATTCCAACTCCACCCAAATTATTTTTGCCAACAGTTCCAGAAGGAGAAGAGTTGGGCAATTTTGAAGAAGCCTGAGGGTTCTTTGCAGGCTGAAGGCCTGAGGTGCGATTAGAGGGCAGCAAATTCATTGTGGGAGACTGCCTGCTGATATTTACACCACCGGTCTGTTTATGAAGGGGGTTGCCGCTGGAGTGACTACTCTGGGAAACTAGTGCACTTGAACTGGAAGAACTGGGTGTTGCTGCAGGCCTGGGGGATGAGGTGGACTTAGATGAAAATTTAGGTGATGCATTCGGCTTGGGTGTCACAGAGGGCTTAGATGCAGTGGACTTGGGAGAGGCAGCAGGTTTGGGAGAGGCAGCCATGGAGAAAGGAGGCTTGAAACCCTGGGAAGAAACCTGTGACACCATAGCCTTGGCTAAATAGTTACTAGAGGTAGAGGTGCTGGATGTTGTCCGAGAAACTAGTGGGTGAGATACTTGTGAGCTGCTTCCAGATGAGGCATTAGACAAAGGCAGGCGATACACTACGGACTTGTCTTGAGTCTTGAGGACTGATGAGGAACAAGACAGTTTAGGATTACTACTTAGTTTCACCACTGGGTTGGTCTGTGATTTGCTAATAGTTGCTTGTAAAGGAGATACATATTTCTGTTGTACAGTGGAATGCTGGTGCGCCTTTGTCACCTGTGATGTTGAAGAACCACCACTTTGGGCCTCTGAAGATGATACCAAGATATTGGCCTCCTTGGGTCTTTGAGAGGAGGTGGAAATAGCTGCTTGGGTTTTAGAGGAAGAAACATGGGTCTGTGAGGAAGAGGAAGCAGCTTGAATCTGGCTTGACCGCTGCAGTCCTTGCTGAAGTAGTTTGGCTGGCAAAGGCTCTAAGGAAACCTTAGGATTTTGAATTGAAGATCCAGCAATAAGGCCTGAAGAGATACCAGTGTGAACTAAGTCCTGGGGTTTCTTTGGTACTGGCCCTGTGTGACCAGCAATAAGACTTGATGAATGAGGTGTTTGAGCGGGCTCTACTTTCTTTGAAGTTGCCAGAGGCAACTTGCTCATGATGCTTGCCAGCTTCTCTTCCCTCAGCCCCGGGCGGGGCCTTGATGGTGGTGTTTCTACAGTGGGCCCAAGAGGTGACCCCTTGGCACCATTATTGATAACTGCCAGAGCATCCGAAATAGAATCCAGTGAGGGTGGATGGAAAGAGAGGTCTTCATCCAGTGAGTCATCCAAGCAGATAGTCTCTGGAGCTGGTGTGCAGCTAGAGCTGGCTGGGGTGCAGGTAGGTGTGCTGGAACTCAGTGTAGCAGCACAACCTGAATTGACTGAAGACATACAGGTTTTCTGTTCTTTCTTTGGACTGGAGTCCTGAGAAAAGAGAGGGGGAAGAGCAGAAGAGAAAAGTTTAGTAGCCTTCCTGGAGCTGAACCAGTCTTCTTCAGTATAACATTATAATTCTGCAAATTCAAATGAAGATCTACTGCTGAATTTTCCATATAAAGGTACCTATGATACCTAGATAGTTGACTCCTGTGTGCTAATTCAATATTTATATAAAAAAATAATGCTTTTGAGGCACAAAGATGACTACCTCACAGTTAAGAATAATTTATGTGGCAAAAAATAGCTAATCTGATCTTTAGGAAAAATGACTATGGAATTTAGACTACAGTCATGTCTAATGAGAATCTGTATCAACTCACTATGTTATTCCCCCAACTTTTCCAATGTTGCCAAATTTAATACTAGCTCAAAACAAAACCAAAACACACACTAAAACTTTTTGAAACTTCAAAGGGAATAGCACCTCTTCATAGTCTATCTTTAAAACTTACACAGTTTAAATTGAGTCCTTTGCATTATTTGGTTTAAAGTCTACAACACAAACTAAATCAGCCCCTCTTACAGTATTCCCTTAAATTACTATTTTCTAAAGGAACCTTCCTGCCAGAATTTTTCCAAATCACAGGCAGGAAGCTGTTCAAGTCAGAGTCACATCAGAGTCATATCACACTCTTACACTGAAAACAAGTTGCATTTACCTTCGCTTTGGGTTTAGGTGCCAGAATCACCTTCTTTTTTGCCCTAAAACAGGAGAGACACAGATAAGCAAATCAGAAGACAAAAAGATAAGTCATATTAGAATAAGCGTAGTAGTCAATACTATCTAAGGTAAAAGGATAACTACTGTGCTACAACTTTCATACCCTACCCTTGAAATAGAAATCAGGCCAAAATATCAGGAAGAGTGAGTGGTTGGGATAAGAAAAGAAACAAGCAACATACTTTTGATCTATTTGCCCTTGTTAGATATCTCTGCATATATGCTGGATATAAAAAAAAAAAATCATTGAATGGATAAACTAGTGTATACTGAGCTAAAATATTCACTTTGTCCTTTTCCCAGTTTAGGAAAAAAAGATTATCAAGTAATTCCAACCTTTTACATTTTTAAGAGTTTGCCTGCATACGGGAGCTTTATTTAAACTGAAATTACATATAACACCTACATAATTTAACTTTATATTGTCATTTTTTGTCTCATCTCATTTGTATTACATCAAGACACAAAAACATTTGTGGTGGGTGTTCTCACCTACCCTCAAGGTGTTTTATTGCTTGTCAACTGTAAAACCTAACTTGCTTATTACAACAAGCAGCTAAATAAGCTTCTAGTCTTTCCTGCATCTCAAATGAACATGATTGTGTCAACTCCAGTTATGCAAGCAAAGATAGCATTAAGGCTAGCATTAATACTCCTCAGCTTCAAATTAGCAATTAAGCACTTCTCACCTTCTTGTCTCACTTCTATTTCCTCCAAAGGATCAACAGATTAACACCTTATAGTTCTTTTATTTTCCTTTCCAAAGCAATCAGGAACATGCTGAGTTTTAAAAAGTATCTTACTGAAGGTGGACTACTGTGTAGTTTTAGTATTATGTAGAAAAATAGCCTGCTTATCTCTATCACAAAAAGTTGTAATTTAGATGACATTCAGAGCCATAGTTAGTTACTTGAATATTGGCTTAATGACAGTGGGTCCTCAGAGAGGACCAGTGCTGTCAGAATCAGGAAGGTAAAATTCCATTTAGATGCAGAGTCTACTGTAGGTAGAGAAATATTCTTGAAGAAAAGAGTGGGAAACACCGCAGTCTGTGGGTTTGATCGGTTATGCTGCACAGCAAATTTTAGGCACAGGCTTTCCTCCCCTGCTCTTTTCCCCCCTCTTTTTTTCCAGTGAGAGGATAGAGGTGGGAAACCAGAAGAGAACCTTTCTTTTTCATATTCTGTGTAAGCCCCTGTATACCACTTCTACAGTATTTTGAAATATTTTGATGAAAAGATATTAATCCAAGAACGAATATCCACCAGATTTAGTTTAACTAAAGTGCTACAACTCCAAATGCCTATGTTAAAACATTATAAATTTGGGAACATTATAAATATATTCAAACCCCTAGATATGTCCCTTCTTTCCCCTCTAACCAGAAAGAGCTGGTATGAAGATGGAAAGAGAGTAAGAACTGAGCAACACAAGGCTATGAACTACCTGCAGATACTAGTGAGTGTCAGCATTAATATACTCACGGAGCAGAAGTGAGGTGATTGTGAACACTTCGGCTTTCTTTAAAAAGCATCCTGGAAGAGGGGTGAGAAAAGAAACAGAAGGTGATTCTACAGGGACAATCAGCACACGATCCCCAAGTACTCAACTATCCTCAAAGCAGATCTACAGCAAGATACTCCTATTGCTGCCACAGTGCAGTTACAGGCAGACATAAACACAAGAATGTTAATTTAAAAAATGATTAAGTTCACATTCAAACACAAATGTTTGGTCATTGGCCAAACAGAAGTCACAGTACCACCTTTTTTGGCAGGACTGAAGAAACATTTTGAATTCTGTTCCCTTCTCAGAGCTGTTAATATTTCAAATATGAAATGAAGGATTTCTCTAAACTCTTCACACCAATACCACCATACTGATCACAGGCTTTCCTCCCACACTTTCTCAACCCCCCCCCCCCTTTTTTTTTCCTCCTTCAAGTGAGGGGATGGAGGTGGGAAACCAGAAGAGAACCTTGCTTTTTAATATTCTGTATAAGCCCCTGAATGCCACTTCTTTGGCATCTATGACACTGCATATACATTTGCACTTCACGATGGAGCAAGTGGTGCAGCTCTATGAGCAGTAAAACTCAATACAGTAATCCCAAGAAAGCGCACATGCTTTTACTCCTGTGTTATCAATTCCTGTCCTGGAAAATTAGAACAATTCCTGACCTGTACTTATAATACAGCTTGGTATCCAAATGTAGTTATAATCAGGCAGTTAATGGCAACTCATTTCCTTTCTCTATTCCCAAGTAGTTAAGCCTAAAGTGGTATTTACAGAGAAACAGCCAAGATTTTCCTATGTCAATGTCACCATGTAAACTCTGACCACATCACCATCTAAAGCAGCTTTCACCTCAGATAAGTTATCCCAGAGAGCTGCAACAGTTAAAAAACCCCACATTTCTACAAGTCTCAAGCAAACTAATAAGAAAACATTAAAATCCTCCAGCGATGGTTCCAGTGTTTGCCATTCCACAGTCAAAACACTGATTTCCATTCTCACATCTATTTATTTCACCCCACCAATCTCCAAGCCTGTATTATATTACTCTCCACCAGACTACTGAATACTTACGAAAAAATGTCAGGAAATAATAGGGACTTTCCTCCTGAAAAGTTTAGCTCACCACTTTTAGAACTATATTTTTCTCCCTCCTCCTTGGTGTTTTGTCTTTCTTTAGTCTTTTTTGTTTAGGACGTCCCAGTCACCAATAAATTGTAATGCCACGGTATAACAGGCATGGCATAAAATACATTGAACAAGTGTAATGGGAGTTAGAAAGAGTTGTTCTGATCAGCAACTTCCAGAAAAGGAACAAAATGCTATCATTTCTTTTCTATGGACTGGTGGGTTTTAGCACGCAGGGGCTGACATCTATATTCTCTTTTTCTGTCTCTTACAAGGCATTTTTTAACAGAGCATTTATCTCCCTTTTGACCCAGTTGCTACAGTGTGGTCACCCACCTGTTTGACAAAATTACTTACCTCTGTCGAATCTGATTTTTAGACAGAAAGCAGGACAAACACTATAAGAGTGCCATGCCATAGAGACTAGATAACTTAGATAAGGTACATCTTAATATTACATGCTTGATAGAAATCCTTCATAGTGTTCAAAATATTTCTAAATGCAAGTAACAAGGTAGTCTATATGTGAATACATATTGTGTATTAAAACTACCCAGTCAGTAAACAAAGTCTTGCTGGTCAACAGAAAGTGATGTTCAAGCAGCTCTTATTTCTTTTTCTTGAAGGCACTTTTAGAGAAAGCTTTAAAATCTGACAGAACTTTTTAAGCACACTTATCTTGTGGATAGAGTACCTGATATGCTAATGTGTTTTCAAATAAAGTTTTGGCAGGTAGGTATTCTAGAATGACCACACACACAGTACAAAATTTGCTATAAAAATTAATATACATTAGATTTTTGATGTTAAAATTCCAACTTATAATTTTAACTTCTAAATCGCACTGCATCTCAGACTGCTTCCAAGATACAGATAACATTGCTTTCTATGCCATCCTCCATCACAGGAAAAGCTTTTCAAGCAGTCATTTCTTTCTTTACCTCAAAAGAGAAAAGCATCAGGGACATAACTTTATATCTGTCAGATGACTAAAGAGAATAGCTCTCCAAGAAAAGCTTCTTTCAGCTCTCAGGTTTACATGCAAGACAAACTTAAGTTTCTGAAAGAACATCCACTCTTCTATAGTATTCTAGTTCCACTAGCATATTTTGAGCTTTTAAACAACTCATATCAGTAATGCTTAGACAAAATAAGTACATCACAACAAATAAGGTTCAAGAAATAGTCACAGAACAGTAAACACCCACTGTAGAGCTATCTTACCTTGCCTGCATCCAGCCCTTAGGCCAAAGTGGTTTCACCTCTGTTTCCATAAAGGTTTTGAGGTAATCTTCAGCAGACTGACTTCTATTTGGCTCTAGCTCATAACATCCCAGCTTGATCTTGACAAGATTACACAATAAAGATCTGTAGAGAGCACAGAACAAATGCATGGAATGAAACGAAGCTCAGCAGAAAAAAAATCTGAGAAATGGAAGAACTAATGCTGCATAACTGCTGTCCAGTGGCAGTTATAAAAGGGGCTCATCTCTAACCATTCTTTTTCTCCTATATATAATTTGCTTCTAACATGTTTATGACCTAGCTGGTGTGATTTGTGTCTCTTCAGTGCTGTCCCTGGTTTATATCAGGCCTTACAGCTCATTTATTTTTACCTTTAGTAATTTCTTGTATTTGTTTCACTATCATCTTTTTGAGTTTTTCTTGTTCCTGAAATGTCTTCTCTCATTTTGCTCACAATGACCTCTACCTCAGTTAAAAATGGAGCACGTCCAAAAATGATGAATCCCATTCAACACCAAATCACCATTTCAATAGAATAGCCTAACAGGGATGCTCTTTTCTAGTGCCATTAAAAACCTAAAATTGCACAGAGTTTATGTTTACCCCTCTGAGCCTCATGAAAAGACCGAATGAAAATACAAGACTTGCATATCATCTCTTGTCCTTAAATATGGCTTCTCCTGGGCAAATCAAGCTATGCTAGTTATATATATTCCATGAAGTCTCCTTCTCTCATGTTTCACTACAGTAAAGATGAGTGAGTATTCATTTTGATAAATTCAATGACACATTCTAAATAATATTCATGTCTGTTCTAAAGTCAGCTTATATCTTCTATGGAAAATACTTAGTGGGATCTGCTTGCTAAAAAATACCATTTATTTCTTAAATTATCTAGATCATCTTAATTTTCAGTAAAATCCACACTAGGAAACAGAACAATGAGACTTCAGTATTTCAGACAAGAATCTATTGCTTTCCAAAGAGAGCCCAGAATCTGTGTGCCAAGGCGATGCATCCATCATACATTCTGGATTCTGTTTTACCCAAGGACTGGGAGGCCTGCCAACACAGCCCAGCCAATTTTG